TCTATTACACCACACTGTACTTTTCTCCAATACCCCCCACCCCATTCCACTTCTTACATTGCTCCTGCCAGCTCCCTGAGGGCGTGCAGAGCCCCATGTTACATGTCCTGACATGGGAGCAAGTTCCGCCTAGTGAACTTAGAAATGCACCCTCAAAAGCAACCCCATCCTCAAGTGTTCTTATCAACAAGTACCTTCCCAGCCCTAAGGACTCTGGTTGATGTAGCTCATTAACATTTTCGGCATGCCACTGTACTCCCAATAAGTATTTTTTGCCGGGTCAGGGGGAAAACCGAATACAAATACAAAGACTCTAAGACATAGTATGATTTTTCTAAGATAGTTGCAGTATCAGCAGCAGAAGCACAAAAACACTTAACTAGGTGTCACTGTCCCTGAAGGTGGAGTGTTACAAATAATAGAACGGACTGAGCAGACCCCTCTGGGTGGTCAGGGAGCCGTGTGCAGCCTCTCTTCCCTTGTAGCACATTATGGAGCCTTGAACTTACAGGTGCTCTGTCGATTGGTTTCTGGATGGATCAATGAAACTACGCTTCAATACGACCAAGTAGGAATGGCATCCTTAGATCTAAGTTGAGCTTGTGAGCTTTTTAAAAACAATGTTCCTTCCCTCACGCAGGGACTGTTGACCACTTGAATCTGCTGTCATTTGGGGCCAAACTCATGTGATGGGAATCAGGCAGGGTCCACAGTAGCACTAGAAACATTCCAGCTCTCGCATTGGGTGATAAGTTCACAGTATTCCTTTTGTTATTTCATAGCTTATGCGTACAAGCTAAAAATAAATCCAAAATTATAGATAATTGTTTTTTAGTAATGGAGTATAGAGCTGTTAATGGGAATTTAAATCCTACCAAGGACTAGATCACATTTGATATGACAGGATACAGTATCTCTGTTATAAAATTTGACTGGCAAGCATGATATTAAAAAATTACTTAAGGGTAACCACCAAAAAGATAAAGAAAAGAAAGAAACACCACCTATAGTTTAAAAAAAAAAATCTGAAAACTGCCAATTTGACATAAAGCAGAAATATAAAAAAAAGGCTAAGATAGAAAATATAAGACTAATTGTATCAGTAATCACACTTCAAGTAACTAGACTGAATTCACTTATTAGAAGACAAAAAAATCAGAAAAGATTTTGGAAAAATAAAAGCTATGTGCTGCTTAAGTAGGCATATTTAATATAAAGTTATAAAGAAAAACTAAAAATGAACAGCAAAAACATACATACTAGAAAAAAGTTAACCAAGAAATGCTGGTGTGGCAACATTACTAATAGATAAAACAATGTAAGGAAAAAGTTTAAAAAGACACCTCATAATAAAAGGGTCACCAGGAATATATAATTAATACATAGTAACATCACAGACAAAACATCAAGTATTAGCAGATACTGATAACAACATAGCCACTGCCATAGAAACTGAAAAAAATTAGTCAAAAAATTAAGATATGGTCTGAATAGCATAATTAGTAAGGTTCAGTTAATTCATGTATATAGAATTTCTTATTCAAATAGAGATACATCTTTAAAAGCTTTTTGTTGAATATTATTTTCAAAATTGGTTTACGTTATTGCCCAAACAAGCTGCAACAAACAAAGAATCAGTAACAAAGGCATCAAATTCAATGGAAGATCATATAGTCTTTTCAGCAAGTGAAGCTAGAATTAGAATCAATATAAGGATAAAAAATGAGCTGAAGCCTCATCATTCCATACCCCAAAATGAACTTGAGATTGATGATAGATCTAAAATTGTTAAACAGTAGTTTCAAAAAAAAAAAAAAAAAACCCTAAGAAATTATCTTTTCAACCTGGGAGTAGGTAAAGATTCTTAGGATACAGCAAGCAATAACCTTCAAAGAAAAGACTAATTAGGTTAGATCAAAATTAAATTTTGCTTAAAAGCTTAAGAAAATTTATAGAAGAACCAGATTGGAAGAAAGTATTCTCAAAATCTGACAAAGGACTTGTGAAAGAGTATATGAAAAACTACAATTCAGTAATGTTTTAAAAGTCAATCCAATTAAAAATAAAGACTTAACCAAACATTCACAAAAGATAAAAGAATAAGTCAATAAAGTGCTCAACATTATCATCAAGGATTTGGAGTAACCAGAACTCTCATATTGCTTGTAGGAGTATAGAACATTAGCAACCCATTTTTAGAGGACATATGGAAATCTCTTAAAAAACTAAACACATCATTGTTTTGGAGTTTCTAGCAAAACAACTAGGCAAGTAAAATGAAGTAAAAGGTATTCAAATTGGAAAGGAAGAATTAATGGCATGACCTTGTAGATAATTCTAAAGAATCCACAAAAAAGTCCAAGAGCTAATAAAGGAGCTCAGCAAGGTTGCAAGACACAAGATAAACAAAAATTGTACCAATGAATAACCCAATAATGAAATTAAGGAAATAATTCCATTTGCCATAGAATCAAAAAGAATAAAATATTTTAGGAATAATAACCAAATATCAAAGACATACACTAAACACTATAAAACATTATGGAAAGAGGAAAATTTAAAGAAAGGGAAAAAATCTCTCCATTAACAAATTGGGAGACAAAACTATTAACACAGTAATACTTGCAAAATTGATTTACAGACTTATTGCAATCACTTAGGGGACTCACACTTTGAAGCATGGCAATCAAGACAGTGTGGTACTGGAATAGGACAGACAAATATACCAATGGAAGAGAACTGAGAATCCAGAGGTAAACCTTCACAATTATGGTCAGTTGATTTTTGACAAACGTGCCAGTACAATTCAATGGGGAAAGAATATTCTCTTTAACAAATAGTGCTGCGACAACAACATCCACATGTGAAAGAATGAAGTCCTATCTCACACCATATACAAAAATTAACTCAAAATGGACCATAGAGCTAAATGTAAGAGCTAAAACTCCTTGAAGAGGGCGCCTGGGTGGCTCAGTTGGTTAAGCGACTGCCTTCGGCTCAGGTCATAATCCTGGAGTCCCAGGATAGAGTCCCATATTGGGATCGCCACTTAGCAGGGAGTCTGCTTCTCCCTCTGACCCTCTCCCCTCTCATGCTCTCTCTCTCTCTCTCAAATAAATAAAATCTTAAAAAAAAAAAAAAAACTCCTTGAAGACAAAAAGCAGTGTATCTTTGTGACCTTACATTAGGGGATAGACTCTTACATACGACAGCAAATGATGTTGAATAAAGAAAAATTTCCTAATGATGCCTGTAGCCTGATGCCTTTCAAATGAAGCTTAAAAATACCCCCAAACAAAGTAATTATTATGAATGGACACATACATATATAAAGTATGCAAACATCTAGCATAACAAATTTCCAAGTAGTGGTTACTTCTAGGGAGGAGAGGATGGGGAGGGGGGACAGAAGGATAATTAAGGGTAATCTTTTGTTTCTGGAAAAAAAAAAAAACCCAAAACTTCAAATAGAAAAAGTATACTGTTAATAGCTGATGAAAGTGGTACGACTATACCTATGTACTTTTATGAATATTTCAAATACTTTATGATTTGACAAATTACATTTTTTTTAAAGGAACGAGACATCCTTATGATCACTAATTTCCAGTACAACACAGGGCAAAAATTAAGGTAAATTAAACTAATTGATCTGAAACTCCACTAATCTCAAGAAATGTTCAGGAAATTGCTTTGGGAATAAACACTATTATTAGATCCTTTGTCATTGCCTTTATTCAAAATGGAGAACAAAGTACATGCCCCCAGAATGATCACTGGAATTTTCCACTTGTTTGTATTCTATACAAATAGTTGTGGCTTATGTTTATTTTAGTAAATTCTTTTTTCTCCCTCTACTCCTAAATTTGTTTTCATCAAATTTTCCCAAGCTTAAATTTCTTTTTTTTCCTTTCCCTAGATTTGTATTTCCTTTCCTAAGCAACAATAAAACATTATTTTCCTTTTTCCATTTGCTCATAAATCAAACAGTACATTTCCTTGTTTGGTTTTTCACTTTCAACTACATGTTTGGTTTGCTTACATTTTTTCTGCTATTCACTTTCCCTACCGAGTACAAGACATGCTTCCAGGTGTTAACAAACTACTTTTTTATAGGGAAAAGGTTCACTTATTTAGACCTATCAGGAAAATGTGCATGCAGATGGGGATTTAACAATAAGCACTTTCTACTTAAAAGGGTACAGACCATGTTTCTCTGAAGGGGCCATTGGATGCTGAGGGCTGTAGGGAGGACAGTTGCTAAGTTGCTGACATTATTACAGGGAGGTGAAGGCCAGGGGCACCCGGCCTTCTTTTCCCACCGCCAGCTCCCACCGTGTTACAGAGCCTAGACCACAGCCTGGCTCAAGTCACAGGGCACAAGAAAGGGGAGACTCTTGTCATCTTTTCGACCCAGCCAACAACAGTTGTCATTTACTGAGACGGCCCACTGCCAAGCAGTCTTCTGGGCACTCAATACAACTTCGTTGGACTCCTAATTCCCCATGAGAGAGGGGGATTATCTCTACTTTATGGACAGGGCACTGCGTAGAGAAGTCAAGCAATACAAGGAAGCTCACCCAGCTTTGCCACCTGGCTGGAAGAGCCGAGATTCACGTCCAACTGGGGCTCGTGGCACACGCCCTGCCATGTGCACACACAGCTTCTTCCCTTTCCAGCTGCTGCAGGGTGTGGAGCAGGGCAGTTTTTTGGTGGAAGAGTTGCTCTCCCTCCCAACCCACCATGCACCCTACCTACTGTATTTATGCTCACGACAGGGCAATGGTTAAGTCCTCAAGGAAACGATTTGATTCCTCAAGTATGGCATTAATAGAAACAAGCATTTACACAGAGGCATCTGTACACAGTATTTATGTACACATAGGTGTGTTTGTAGGGGCAAGGCTGGCTACCTGCTGTGGTACTGAAGGAGCCCTTCTGAGGGTGCTCCTATAACCGGGTGCTCCAGAAACAAAGCCCCACGAATAATGGAGGCCTACCTGAATAGGATCCTGTGTCAGTCTCATGGGCCCAATGCGCACCTCTGCTGAAGAGACCTGCTAAATAAGCGACAACACGTTAGATGTGTCAAGTCAAACTACAAGAATTGACAAATACTTCCTTACTTAGAATATTACATGATACTACTTTGTAGACACTGACTACAAGGATCCAATTTACTGACACGGAGACAGTTTATAAAACATATATGGCATAATCCTAGTTTTGCGTAAGAACGTACACATTTATATGTGCATTGAAAATGTCCTGGAGGAGATCATCAAATGCTAAGTAGTGGATTTCAGGTTGTTTTTACTTTAAGTACATGGATTTTTATAATAAGCAAGTACTGCTTTACGGGAGAAAACCAATCATTTTCTGAGCACCGACTATGTGCTCAGCACCATGCTAGACACTTCTTTTTTGCTAGACAGTTCTTATTCTAACACCTCAAATAAAGGTTTTTCTCAAATGTGAAAGCTAAAACATTTGAAGAGCTGTTCCTCTATTTACTTCTTAATTTTCTTACCTTCATGCTTCGTATGAGGCATAGACAGCTCATTCTTACCCATGTTTACCACGAATAAACTCATTTGAATTGCACTTCCTCCAATAAAGTGGGGAAGCCCATACCATGACCGCAAGATGCAAATTGCGCCCCACGACTCAGTTCAGGAATGAGCTTAGGTGTTCAGTGGCCAACACCATCTAACTGCCTTCAGCTCCAAGCACAGAGCAAGTATTTGTAATAACTTTGCTTGGATTAGTCACTTTCTCAAAGTGACTCTTTCTAGGTAACTTTATTGAGAGTCTTGACCTGACCCCTAAGGATCCAGTTTTATTGTTCTCCAAGAGGAAGCAGTCATTTTGCCACCACTTGGAAGCTTATCCTGCGTTCTACACACGAGTTTGGTCCCTGCCAGTCAGACGGAACACCTTCAACAAGCATACAAAATCACAGGACCAGAGGTAACTCAATAATGAATCAAGGGCCAGAGGAAGCTTTTATCAGTTAACAAAAGCAGAACTTTCTTTAAATTATAATTTTTTTAAAAGATTTTATTTATTTATTTGACAGAGAGAGATACAGCGAGAGCAGGAACACAAGCAGAGGGAGTGGGAGAGGGAGAAGCAGGCTTCCCGCGGAGCAGGGAGCCCGATGTGGGGCTCGATCCCAGGACTTGGGGATCGTGACCTGAGCCGAAAGCAGACGCTTTACGACTGAGCCACCCAGAGGCCCCTTTAAATTATAATTTTGAAAACTAAAAATTTCCCTTTCTCCTTTCTTCCCTTTTCTCTGTGCTTAATTCGTGGTGGGCATGGTGTGAATCTTCTTCTAAACATGACTGAATTGGTGACATTCTTTTCCTCTTTAAGGTTGATCCCTCAACCCTGGCTTCACCATGTGAAGCAATGATCCTGGGGACTTTGGCCTCTCGCCAACCCAGCCAGCAGACAGCTCGAAACCCTCCAATGACTGCTCAACAGAGGCTATTGGTCCTCGGTGCTGGGTTCTGCTTGGGGAGGCAGCCCCTGACCAGTGGACCCTTGTAGGAGGCCTGGCACAATTCATACCAACACGGGGCCTCGAGTCCCTGAGCCATGGACCAGTGGCGAGTTCCTTCAGTGTTTCACTGCTGTCTTCAGGTAGAACATGTGATCCTATGCTTCTTTCCTTCAAACAAAACAATATCCTACGAAGTGTTACTGCTGATACCAGCACCCAGCACATACACACAGCCCTAAGAATGATTCCACTGAAAAACCAGCGGTACCAGGCCTCCTGTGTCACTGGGACTCAGCAGCCCACCCAGCACCCCAGCTCTACTTGGACACAGTGTTTATTTCTGAAACACACATGGTCCTTCAAAAGCAGTGTAACTGCCAGAATTTTACTAAAAAGTTAATAATTAAGAAGTAAAACCCATTTGATAAAGTAAGATCAAGTTGACTGATTATCTAGGATATCTTTTCACAGTCCCTGTGATCTCTCTTGGGTTCACTGCCCCCGTCACACACCTAAGTGCCCCTCCAACAAGGCTACAGGTTTTCTCCAGCTAAACTGACTCCCAAAGGGGTCATCCAGGGGAAGAAAAAAAAAATCAATGAAATATGTAGTATAAAGTTTAAAAGGAATAAAATAAAGTGACTCTCTTTGGAAGGCTAAGGGACAGGGGGAAGGATCCCTGCTAGAAGGGTACAGACTATCCAAAAAACAGTTCACTCTTAACCAATACATTTCTATCTAATTTCGTAAATAACCAAGATGTGCACCAAGTAGTTATAAAGGGTTGTGTGTGTGTGTGTGTGTGTGTGTTGGAGAGCTCACAATACGTTCCTGATGAAATCTCTCTCTAGAACAAATCCCGTGAAACAGTGTAATCACTCCTGGCACACAAATGGTTGGATTCGCATTTAATGAAAATAATTCTCATTATTGTCTCCTATTCATTTAGGCCCAGAGGATCCTATCATATTTCAGCTCTTTATGTAACTGAATTTAGACAGGACACAGGTCAAGTCACTTTTTACATAGGTCTCTTGGTGGGATAAAAGCCCTGAAAGGCAGGGGCCTGGGTGGCTCAGTCAGTTAAGCGTCTGCCTTCGGCTCAGGTCATGATCCCGAGGTCCTGGGATTGAGCCCCGCGTCAGGCTCCCTGCTCAGTGGGAAGCCTGCTTCTCCCTCTGCCTGCCGCTCCCCCTGCTTGTGCTCTCTCTCACTCTCTGTCAAATAAATAAGTAAAATCTTAAAAAAAAAAAAAAAAAAGCGCCCTGAAAGGCAGCATTTATGGGCCTTTATTATCAACATTAAAAAGAAAGTCAATTCCATTTTCCTTATATGTAAGGAAATGATGATTAATTTGGAGTAATTCTGAAATAAAGTCCTTGCATTATTGACAACACTGGTAAAGCTCTTCAACTATGGTCATTTTTTGTCATGCATTTTAGGTCTTTAGAAAACGATGTTTTTGTTGGAACTATCGAGTAAGCTCAGTATGTTAGTTTCCCAGGGATTGTGAAGTTTTGAATAAAGAGGAAGAGCTCTGATGGGAGGAGAAATACCTTCTGAATCACTTCTGATCACAATTCAGAAGCTGGGGGAAGAAAAAAAAAAAACCCTGAAGTTTATTATCTCATTGGTATGTGGTAAAATAGTTCATGTACTTTTTCTTTTAATTTTGGGATGTAAATATTACTTTTTTTTTTTTTGCACTAGTGAGCCCAGAGTTGAGAAGATGGTAAAAACTGACATGTTAAAACTCCTATAATAGGTTAGATATGTGGGAGAAGATTAATATGTTTTCTCATTTAAATCTCAAAATCCATTTCACTATTTTAGCTCTGAATTAGAATAGGCTCAATTATACTGTGGTATCAAAGAGACCCCAAATCTCAGTGGCCTACTAATAGAAAGGGTTTTTTTTATTCATACAAAATTCACTGTGGTTCCAGGTGACTTTCCTAAGCAATTCCTCCTCGTGGTTACTTAGAAGTCCAGGCCAAGACAAAGTCAGGGGGGAAGTCACAGGAGACTCAGGCATGGGTTTCTAAAACCTCAGCCTGAAAGTTAGACACAGTCCTTTCCCTCAGCCCATCGGCTGGAGCTAGTCACGTGGCCCCACTTCACTGTAAGGGGGTGGGAAATCTAACGAAGCCAAAGGGTAGTAGTTACATAGGCCTTTTAAAACTTTGCCAGGAGAACATCTGAGGATCCTGTGGACACTCCTCAAGGCACCTGCTCTCCCCGAGGGACTGTGCTAGGCACCTTCACAGGAGTGACCTTTGCAGGAGACCGGCAATGGCCACTGAGTGACAGTATGGAATTTTCCAAGCGACACCTGACCTAGAACATACCCTTTTCCTGCTCAACAGCAAAGACGCTACAACTGTCTTCCACAACCGTAGGAGTCCCCTGCCTGACCCAGCTCAGCAGGAAGCCGCCAGGAGGGAGGCAGAGCCCAGGAGACAGTACTGCAAGTTTGGTCGACCTTTCCCAAGACCCGGGCCTCCCCCGTCTCTACCCACTTCTTCCCAAGCCCGCCTCACTGTGCCACCTCCCAGGAGGCACCCTCCACCTCCACCACCCAGCTTGGGGCCTCAATTTACCAGCTCCTTTAGTCCTGACCTACACTTAGCTTCCGGTCTCTTGGCTTCCCTTTTCCTTCTTAGGCTGCGCTCCCGTTCACCTGACCTTGGCTCCCACGCCCAAGAGAGGTCAACTATCTCGGCAGAACGGCAGCACTTCTTGCCGGCTCTGCGGGCTGACGCAAGGCAGCGACCAGCAAGGCAAAGCTGCAGCAGCGCTACCCTTGCAGGGGTCTGTGCCTGACACAGCAGCCTGCTGCCTACATGTCATCGATCTACGACAGAGCGTTTATGAACACCAACAGACCATGTACTGAGGTCTCTGTAACAAAGCCAAGACTCTCTATTTCCAAGAGTGAACTGTGAGCAGCTGCAGATGCACGGACCGCCAGGTAGGGTATGAGCTCTGATTCCCAGAAGTGAAGAAGTTCGCCAAGGTCACAGAAGCAAGCAAAGGGTGGGGTCAGAGATAACCTAATTCTAGTGCCCACGGGGGAGGAGGATGGGACAAGGATGTGAAGAGACACACTTCCTACCACTCTGACCACACATCTTCCCCCAACAGCCCAATGAGGAAGGACTGCTGACCGACAGTGCAGCCTGAACTCTCCCATGTTTATAGTGTGTCCACATGTGTATACAGGGTAACATGCATACACCTGCAGCAAGGTAACCAATTCACATGCAGGGGAGTTGGCTCTCTAGGGGAAAAAAAAGTCCTATTTTGTAGCATTTGCTGATGCTCTGGTATAAAAACCTTCACTTTAGTTAATCTCAAGCTAGCAACATAGGGCCCTGAGTGTGCAACTGGGACTGTATCTTTTCATTCTGAATAAAAAGGGTCTATGGGTGGCAAACTCATTGGGTCTTTGTTGGTCTACAAATGTCTATCACTCACTTTTGATAGTTTAAGGAGATACACAATTCTGGATGATAGATATTTTCCCCTCCAACTTTAAAGATGAAAAGGAGA